CTTTTTTTTCCTCCCCAACTTTCACATTTCACCTGTAAGAATCCACATTCACTTTGAAAACTTTTCATTGTTCATGCCCCATTCTTACTTCTTACCAGGCTGTAAGGGATTAGCGATAGATTTTCAGAGTAGTACACTACACTATACTTGCTTTCAATAACCAGATGCCTACTTGCAAGCGGTGAAACTTTCGGGCCTAAGAGGGGAGGATCAGCGCGTCAGATTCTCTTTGTGGCCTCGAGCTGTTTTCACTTAGAGCGAGGGCATTACCACAGCCTCCAGGTAGTGATATATCAACACCTGTTTGAAGCAGCAGTGCAGGTAGGCAATAATGTTGGATATTATAACCTGCAGCAGTAATAGAGATGAGCAAAATGGGGATGTTCTGATCGGGTTTTTTAGGGCTGATACTCATCACAGTTTTCATCAGAAGTCATCAGCATCAGCAAATCTGAAGCTGACCTTTAAAGGATTTTATAGGGAGCTTCTGCAGAAGCTCTAAATGCATTGCTATTTTGTCCTAAAGGTAGTTAGTTGGCTGTTATCCATGAGCAGTGCTTCATTACATTTTTTAATACTCTGTTCCATGCTCCAAATTCAGTTAGTTTGGCTTTCTTGTTTCCAAAATGTGAGATAGGTCTCCTTCAACTGCATGCTTCACAAAGCACATGTAAAATATTACAAAAGGAAACATTTGCATCGCTTTCAGACTCATGGGCAATACCTCAGTCTTAATGACAGCGGCCTCACAGTTACATTGTTTTTATGTGCATAAAACTTGACGAAGCCTGTTCTGTTTAGTAAAAATGATGGGTGCCTTCAGATCATACCATGCTTTCACAGTTCTCCATGTAACTACAAACATTAACCGCTTGATCATTTCAGTTTTTATGCTATGTCACATCTGTGGCGTCAGTGGGATATGCTGTACATAACAACATAGCAAAAGCTAATAGAATGACATTTTTTTCAAGTACCCAGCATTACATAAAGTGCTTAAAATCATATGGTGATAATACTTTAGTGCTTTATCTGAATTATAATTTTGAATGCAGGACTTTTACTTTTAATGGATTTTTATATGGTGGTATTAATTTCTTATGGTGGTATACCATTTTTTCTACCATTGGATGCTGTGAAATCAAACTCCCCACCCAACTGCATCTTGGTTCAGTGCAGTGGTAGATAGTAATGTGCACTACCTGCATGTGGTGGAGATCCTTCAACCTTAATGGATCAGGCGGTAAAAACACTCTATTTCTGATCGGCAAATGTAAAGACCAAGTAATGAATATCAGCTGATACCGATCAGGGCTCCATCCGTTGGAGCATCACTGTTTACTGGTAATGAGCGGTCATTAAAAAACACTGCTGGTTGTAAAATTTTTACTAGATTTCTTATTCACTATACATTGTCTCAGGTCGTTCAGTGTATATCACTGTATTTAACAACCAAGGGGCTGATATCATCTGTCTCCTTTCTGGAGCAGGATCAATACCGTCTTAAGCAAGATGGGGCTTTCACACACACACACACACACACACACACACACACACACCAAAACATGCATACATTGAGGAGATCGGAAAACATCATCTCATACATTTGGAACAGATCTGCAATGTCCATTATCCTGCTCTCTGTCTTGTACACACACACACACACACGCACACAAACACACAGAGGACAAATCAAAAACATATATTGTCTATTTGTGTCAGTCTCTTTCTCATTTTCTTTCCTCTCTAGTCTGACAGTGGACAGACACACAACCAGACAGACACTCACATACACACACACTCACACATGCACGCACACACACACACACACACACGCGCGCACACACAACAAAACCCCCTCTCTCACAGACACTCAGTCTCACAAACACAGAAAATCGAAATCACAAATCGGCTTAACTCTCCCTGACACGTCTGTGAATTAAGCCTTTCCGTTGCTCTCCCTTTCCCATTATAAAGGCATTGTCAGAGGCTGAATCAGTAACAGGTAGCCCACAGCTCCTGCTGCTTCCCTCTCGCTCCTCTCTTTCATTCTCCTTCCCTCTTCCTCACCTTCTCTCTTTTTTCCTCCTCTTTCTTTGTCTTCTCTCGCTCTCTCGCTGTGTGTCCCTCAGCCTTTCTCTCTAATTCTCTCTCCCGCCTCCCCCCCGTGTCCGTCTCTCCTCGCTCACGTCTTCCTCATGACCTCCATCAGCTCTCTCCTTAATCATCTCTCCTGTCCTCACACAGTCTTTCTCTCTCCCTCCTTCATTTCCCCCCCCCTTTTTTTTTTTTTTTTTTTTTTCATCTATCACAGCCAGCGGTAGAAAGGAACTAAGTACTAGGTATTTCCATGTTGTGCTAGTTTACACTTGACAGATAGTGTTTACACTACTTCACTACATTTCATGATGGGAAACAGTTTTTGCTCCACTGCATTTATTTGACAGCTATAGTTAGTAGTTAATTTGCCATTTCAGACTTTAGATACAAAGAATTTGATCAGTTTATAAAATATGATGCATTATTATACATTAAATTATCTATTTAAATCCCCACTGGCAGCTACAACTTTAAAATACTGCTTACACATTAATGCATCAGTAATGAAATTCCAATAATGTATAATAATTTAGCTATTTATGAAACCATTACTAAGTAGTTTCCAACTGAACACACTTAAGACTGTGGAGCTGGCAGTGGACTTTAGGAAACACCCCTCAGCACTGCTGCCCCTCATAATATCCAACAGCCCTGTGGAGACCTTTACGTTTCTGGGAACTGCCATTTCCCAAGACCTGAAGCAGGAGACAAACATCAACCCTATCCTCAAAAAGGCCCAGCAGAGGATGTACTCTGTGGCAAAGAGGAAGTACGGTCTGCCACAGGAGCTGTTGAGTCAGTTCTACACCGCAGTCTTCAAATCCGTCCTGTGCACATCCATCACGGTCTGGCTCGGAGCAGCCATAAAACAAGACAGGAACAGACTGCAGTGAACAGTAAGGCCAGCTGAAAAATAACATTGGTGCTCCTTTGACCACCCTCCAGGACTCTTTGAGAACCAGGAAACTGGCAGGAGAAATCATGACAGATTCCTCACACCCTAGACACAACCTTTTTTCAATTCCTCAGCACTACAGAACCTGGTACACCAAAACTACCAGACACAGGTGCAGTTTCTTTCATCGTGCCATCATCCTCATAAATAGCTGACCAGTACTACTACTACTGTTCAAAAGCACTATACGCATTGCACATTATTTTTATTTGCACTACCACATACACTTTATGTATATTGTTTGTCTTATATATATTATGATATAATCTGTATATCACTTGTGTACTGTGCATTGTCTGTATATTGTATTGCTTGAGAGTCACCAATGGCTGGAACTGAATTCCTTGTGTGTGTTAACATACTTGGCCAATAAATGTGATTGTGAGAGAAATATCCACTTAGTAAACACTTATGTTATAACAAGGCTAGGTTTGAACATACTAAGAGCTGCTGCAACTGCAGTGCTTCTTCCACCATTGATCTTAGCATTCCACCCAGTTTCTTTCTTTTTGTGTGGAGGTGTAACTCGGGGAAGGATCACATGAAGCTTGCATATCGAGTGGGAGAGGGAGGGAGACAGGAAGGGAGGGGAGGAGGGAGGAGAGAGCGTTAGCTGACTGTGTTGTGAATGCAGGGAGTAGACAAGCAGAGCGATTCTGACAGGCTGTGTCTGCACAGTTTGTTCTCCAATAGGCCCACACAGAGTCACCAGTGGGGCGCACACACGCTTGCACACGCTCGCAAACACACACCATCGGGAGTTGCACGCTCATATACATGCACACTAACACTGTCACTCTCTTTCACACTCATGCACAATTGCTGTTGCACACAGTGTGTTGCAGGGTAACCCGCAAACACACATAGACACACAAACAGTACGCACATACACACACACACACACACACACACACACACACACACACACAAAGTGAGAAGAGAGGCGAGCCGAGCAGAGGAAAAGGGCTTGGTTTTTAACGCGTTCCTCCCGAGGCTTCAGTGCTAGGGAAATGGAGCTATCATGACAAGGGATGAAAGAGCAACAATGGTTTCATCACTTTCCCTCATGTTCCACTGCACCGTGAAAAAGAAGCTTCTAGCGTTCTCATCCTCCCGTTAGGGAAAACATGCCGCGCTTTAAACCAAGAGGAGACGCTCGAGTTTGAGTGAGTGAGTGAGTGAGTGAGTGAGTGAGTGAGTGAGTGAGTGAGTGAGTGAGTGAGTGAGAGACAGGGAGGGAGGGAGAGAAAGCATCCTCTCTCAGCAATCAATAAACCGCACAAGCCCATATTGTTGATACATCAGCAGCAGATATTGACCATTTTGATGGACCAAAGACAATGGTGTGTATTGATCTTGAAAATGTCCCTGTGTTCAGTTGCTGTTTATTGATACTGTCCCTCTTTCCTTCTTCTTCTCTGGCTCTGTTGTCCTCATGTCACCCCTGCCTGAGCACCACCTTTCTGTCTTCCTCTCTTCTTTTCATTACTTTTGTTTTCTATGATTCCGTCTGTTCCACAGTGTTTACCCCCCCCCCCCGCTTACTATCTCTCTCTTGTTCACCTTTCTTCACCTCCCAGCTTCCTGCCTCACCAATGTTAACCCAGACCACCACCACCCCAAGACTCTGTCCTCCCTTACTCCTTATCCCCTTGTCTATAAACTTTTATATAAAGTTTATATTTTTATATATATATACCTCCTTTCACTTGTGAAATCAATTCACATATTTGTCTGATATTTATGTTTTGTATCCTATGGCCTTTTGCTTTTTTTTTATCATCACTTTTTATATTTTGCTTTGTCAGCAAGAGGACTGGCAACCACTTTTCAGAAGCTAGTGGGAATCAGAATTGATGTAAACAAAAATATACAAAACCTACATCCTGTCTTCTTTTCCTCCTTTCATCTCACCTTCTCCTTGTCTTTTCCCTTGTTCCACCAGGGTGCAGTGATCACGCCAGCCATGGACCACACTATGTCCATGCAGCCTGCCAGCATGATGGGCCCTCTCACCCAGCAGATGAACCATCTGTCCCTGGGCACTACAGGAAGTGTGAGTACTCCTCGCTGTGCTACATTCAACCACGTACTGTATGTTACACAAAACACGCAAACACAAGCCTGAATAGTGGCTATAATCCAGATGAGAGAACGTCCAGGTTGGTTTGTTTATGCTTGTTTACAGCATCTCATTGTTTTGTTCCCCGGCGGTTTTTAATAGTTTCACATTTGCTAACTCTTGTCCTCAAACTTGACCCGAAACAGTGAGGTCAATTAATCACGCAGTCAAGGCAATAAAGGACAGTACTCTTTTCAGGGAAGATGCAAATACAATATTATCATTAACATTAAATGAGTTCTCTATCCATAAAACTGGATGCAATTTTATGTAATTTATGAAGCATTTCTAAATATTTTGTTATTTTTGCATTAATATGGGAAGCACACTAACCAGTTTCATTATAATATAACTGACATGGTTTGAGATTTTTTCAGGGTCGGCCAAAAAATCCATTCACATACATGTCGACTATAAATGCCGCTAGCTGCTTTGCTGTTTTCATTATACCACTCCAGCAAGGCAAAACATTTGAAAGCATACATCCACTTTTAAGAGTTGAGAAATAAACCGGCAGGTGTCTATTACACTGCAGGTATGGGTCAGGAGGACCGAGTGGAGGCCTTTTATCTTTGGGGAACATTGTTCATTTAGTTCCGAAACAAAGTACACATTGAGTAAAAGGTGGATTTTACATTTCCTTTTCAAGAAAGCCAAACGTTCTTAGGCTGTCGCCACATGTGCTCTGCCATGGAGCTGCCGTATCATTTGTTTTACACTGCATGCATTCACTGCCAGACACTGAGAGAGCATATTTCCTCCCTGATCTTCCACATTAAACAGATTTCCTGTGAAGCTTAACAGTGGGACAGGGCCCTCTGTTCTCCACCTTCCTCACTTTCACCCTTTAATTTCTGTTTCTCTCTCACACTTTCTGTCTCCCTCACTCTCTAAATCACACATCAAATCTATCACTCCATTACTTTTCCTTATTCCACACACGCACGCACGCTTACAGTCACCGGCCCCTAAACCAGGAACTCCCCCCTGTTTCAGGATCAAGTCGACTTAGAGGTGTCACACAGTTCTGAAGCCTGACTTCCTGCCCTAACCCTGCTGCCCGGGGGCAGGCAAGCAGGCAAGCTTTGCTCCAGCACTACCTTTGATCTGTGTGTGTGTGTGTGTGTTTGTGTGAGTGTGTATGATTGAAACAGTGCTGTATTGTACAGTTACCCATGTGTTTCCAGGTGAGCTGTCAGCGACTGTGACGCCATGTTGGCTCTGTCAGGAATGCCCCCTCCCTAATCTGCCCCAGCTGTGCTAACAACCAGGATTAGAGACAGGCTAATCTATGATGATGGCTTCTGATGTTTGATGGGTTGTATTATAGGAGAAAATGGGTTAAGACACTCTCTCTCCTTTTTTCACTTCTGGTTTACTCTCTCTGCCTCTCCCCTTTCTGCCTGCTTAGCTTTCCCGAGGCAATGTGCTGTGTAGCATAACTTTTCTATGGCTGAGCTGCACACACGGCATGCCACACTTGATCATCTCTGGGAATTGAGACATGTTTCCTATAAAGCTGATTCTTAAGCCAGATGTGAAAGCCCTTTCATACTGACTGATTGAGAAAGCCTGTTAAAAGAGGGGTTAGGAACCAGCATCTGTAACTATCCGTGTAGTAAACTGGACTTGACACCACATATTCTCAGAGCACATTCCTCAAGCGTACACGCATGTGGTGAAGTTGTTTTGATTGCCCCCGCTGGTCACGTGACGCAACCTTTGCCACAGACGAGCACCTGCCATGAGCAGCGTCTCCAAAGTCAACAACTTATCAAGACTGCCTCTGGCCACTGAAGGAGAAAGCCACACCTCAGAATACTCTTGGCTGTTCCAGGGCTCTCTGCGGCTGTTTGTGTATGGCTGTGGCTTTCTTCTTCTCTCCAAGAAAAGAACCAAATGTTCCCGATCCGCCCCAAAGCTGCGACACTGGTGCGGTGACCATAGCTTTCCGAGAACGCGGTGTTATTTTGCGCTGTTGACAGCGTGGATCGGCACGGAGAGGGTTTGCCCCGTTAAAAGGGAGCAGGAAGGCAAACCTCCCCTCGTAATGAGGAAGCGTGGATACGGTGCCGTCTGATGGTCACTGCTTTGGAATTTAGATGCTTCACCAGAAAATGCCGTGTTTTCAGCAACTGTAGTCACCCAGCTCAGTCAGTTTGTCTGTGTTGAACAACTTGAGTACAGAATGCAAAAGAACCTCGGGCTCACTGTTTATGGATTGCACACATAAACATGCCATCCGTGCTCCTCGCTGATTTATTTTACCATGTTTGGTGCATATTGCTCCAGTTACTGATTTATTTACTATGTTACAGCTCTCACCACTTAACAGGAGTCTATCTGTCACGCCTTGTGTTCGCTCTTCCCTGTTAGTTGCTGTGCACGTGTGGCTGTGCCCATGCTGTGTTTGTCATTTTTGTGTCTGTGTCTGTGTCTGTGTGTATGTGTTTGCACATACTGTATGTCAGTGTCTGCGTCTGCGTGTGTGAGCGACATAGTGTTTGACATGACAAGAGGTGACCTTCCCTCTGTGTTCTCCATCCTATTCCTGTCATGCCATGTATAACCCAGGTCTCTGTTGTCATGGTGACAGAGATGATTGACAGCTTCTGTGTCCCTGGAAGACAGATTTGTGTGAAGCGCTTTCCTCTATTATCTGGGCTGTTTCCCTTGGTCTTCTATGGGGAAGCCTAAGTGCAGCATGTTGTTCTGCATTTCCATAACTGTGCACGGCTATATTTAACCTTTACTCACCCAGGGAAGTTGACTGAGTGTGTACTCTCTTCTCTTGTTGCTTCACATTCGAGCAGTAACACATGTTGACACCTGGGTGAGTCCTGGTACCACCGAGCAGTCAGGTCTTTGCAGGACCTTGAAAGTAATTGTTCAGGGAGGAACAACCTTTTATGGCATTTTTAAATTTTGCATTTTGAATGCGTTTAAGGGCCTGTAGCCAAGAACTCTGGTGCAAGAACTGGCCACTCTTGAATAAGTTTTATTCCTCTGATATTGAAATTCGTGTGCTTAATTTAAAGTTTGTCTTGTGAAATAAGAACTTAATTCTGAATTCAGATTGTATTTTCTCAGTTGGTATGCAGCCGAGGCTGGAGTGCACTCAGACCTTGTGCCTGAAATAATAAAGAACTACAGCAGTAATGACATTTCAGGCTCATACATTCATGTTCCATGACACAGAGTGAGTGTGTACTGCCTAATTTGGGTTACTGAAGGCAGACCTTTGTAGTATTTTGGCTTTACTTAAAGCTGCACCAATCAATATTTAAAAAAAACAAACAATGACTCAAATAAATTTGTGTAATGTGAAAGGTGTCAATCACTGTGACAAACCCACAGACAATTGTCATCCGACTCTTCCCTTCAACTCATCAGAGCATTTTATTGTCTTTCAGCTCATTGCTTTGATTTTACCCCTGTTACTATTTTAGTTCTGTCTCGCCTTTTTTATTCATTTCCAGCAGCAGCAGATATTATTAAACCAGCTGCACGCTGGTGAATGTAGTGGGGCATTTTGCACCCAAAGAGCCGTTTATTTCTATCAAGAGTTGGAGACCAAAACAGGATAGAGCTGAAAGGAGAGCGAGTAATGGACTGTAAATAGGCAACTGTTTGCCAACACATTCACCATATCAAATTTTAGGTTGATTATATGTCAGTGCTTACAGCTTGTTCCTCTGCCCTTAAGTGGCTACAGACATCAATTAATACAGCTTTAAAAATACCTTGAACTTGAACTCGACTATTAGACTAAGAGAGGGACTTCTTATCATCAAACAGTTAGATTTATATTCAGTATTACACACCACATGTTGAATGCATTTCATGCCTCATAATAATAAATGCAATGCAAAGACCAAAGACTTTTTTTTTGGACATTTCGGACTTTCCTGCCTTTTGCTGCGTTTGTTTCGGTGCATTACTGCCACCTGTATATCAGTGTTTGTGAACCCACTCGAAAACTCCACAGGGTACCTTTAATACTGAAATAGTAAATATTAGAATAGTAAAATGATATACAGTAAGCCTGCTGATAAGAATGAGTTTAAAGAAGTGATTTAACAGATGACACTGATTTTGCCAGTGTAAATCTCTTCAGGCACAGTGCTAACAAAGCCTAGGGGCCAAGATATGGAGGTTTTTTTTTTTTCATGGTGAAGTGGTACAGCACTATGATTCACAGCCTCGTGTGTGCAGCTCCAATAGTTCCCTTCGTGTTGGATCCCCACTGCTAAGATCAATAGTCATCAGAGCCCATCCCCACGCTGCTCTGCCATTAATAACCTACACTGAATAGCTGGATGCTCTTGCCTTGACCAACTGTTATCCTCCACCTTGCGGACGATGCGACAGAACAGCATGTCAACACAGAGGGGATAGATAGATAGATAGATGTGGGGACTGAGTGACAGACAGAGAGGGTGATGATTTATTTGGACATTTAAGCATGCTAACCTGCTGTGCTACATTCCACCAGTGCCAGAAATTCTCTTTGATGTGGAAAGCTGATTGAAGAAAGTAAACTGCCCCATCACCCTTGTACCCTCCAAACATATATTGCATCTTATACTTCACTGTGGTGCAGAGGCCCAAACCACTGTGGTACCAGAGCGGCTCTGTCTATTCTATGGATTTTCATCCTGGCATCGCTGCATTGCGGTCTGACTTTATACTGTAGTTATAGGTGTATGTCATGGAGAGTGAGGATAGAGAAGAAACTTAGGGAGCCTACTCACACCAGCCTCGTTAAGGAACTATTCAGTCTTCCCGTTCATCAAACATACACACACGCCATCTGCTTCAGGCGCAGGTGTGTGTGTGTTAGGCGTGCATGTGCATAGATGTGTATGTGCGGCTGTGTGTGTGTGTGAACTGCGAGAGTGAAACACCATTTATTGCCAATTAGGGATGCTTTATATTGCCCAAACCTGTCCCCTGACTATGGACAGGAAAGTATTAAGAGTTGAAATTGGACAAAAATCATCTCCATCACCATAGCAACCCAATTCACTGTAGCTAGACTTTGACATCCTTGTGACTTGCCACAGCAGCGAGTGCAGAAATGTGCCCTGCTCGACCTGCCACATTAAATAGGTTAACTAATGGTTATGGTAGACGAAAAAATCTTATCTTATTAAATTTTCCTGTTAAATCTAATTTAAATTCCTTTTGCAGTCCTGCAGAGAAATATAACATTTCAAATGGACATTCTCCTTTGACAGGGAGATTTTGATATTGCTAATTATCTCCTGCTTCCCTTCATTTGCTTTCATGCAGCCCTCACAGGTGAGTTGCCTGAATAAGTTAATGGGAAGGGGAGGCGAAGACAAAAAGTCACGAAGAAAATTGGTATGCATGGTTTAGATTCACCAGGGAGAAGGTCACTTCAACAATCTGATAGGCCCTTTTAGACGATAGAGGGCTGAGAGGGGGGGGGGTGACAGGAAGGTGAGAGGGAAGAAGGGATGACACAGAGAGGTAATGTGGTAATGTGTCAGGAAGTCTGGATATGCTGCCTCGCCCCGTCCTGAGTGTCACAGCCCTGAAGGTGTGATAACCTTAAATTCACACGCACATACCCACACAGTCACACTCACATACGAACACACACAAGCATCCATCCCAGGGCATCCTCCTGGCCATGTGTAGCGACGGTGGGGGAGTTAATCACCCATGTCCATGGCCTTTAGCTGCTCTCATTAGCGGTGAGCGGTGGAGCCGTACCCGATCCATTAGCAACGCTGCCGGTAATGACACTTCACCAGCACCGCCGGGCCCACAGCCAAGAAAGGCTCCGCAGCCCGGCACAACCCCTCCATTACTGCCTCCTACTGCATATTGCCGCCACGCTTTTTAGCACTGGCAGGGGGACTGAGAGGCAAAGGAAAAAATAAGACAGAAAGAAAGGGATTGTACTTCTCTTTTTCCTTGGTCCGGAAAAGCAGCAGGAAGATGAGGAGAGGCGGAGAGGCAGCCCGGTGGCTTTTATCTGGGATCACATCCGTTGGCGCTGTACTGCAGCATTATCGTTCCAAGCTTCTTTGTCTTTGTTTGTCTTTCTCACACTCAGACGCGCGCACACACACACACACACACACACACACACACACACACACACACACACACACAGACACATGCACAGACTCAATGTTCCCAACACACAGCTGCACACAGGAGAACACATACATCCACATGCACAGTTGGACGGACAAATAGTGATAAGTCATCTTTTATGCACAGGCATGTGCTAATTAAAAAGAAGCACACACACTGGCAAATCAGGCTCATACTGGCACACATGTTCATCATCACACATACGCACGCACACACACACACACACACACACACACCATACTTTCACAGCAAGTCCCAGAAAAAGCCTCAGAGAAAAGTGCCGTGTCTTCATTCATATTGCATGTGAAAGCCCCATGGCTGTCATGTAACCGAACCTGTGTCACATCTGTAAAATGGCCTTCATGGAGCAAGCTAGCATCCAGTTAAGAGCCAGAGCAGGCATGACTAAAGGAATATAGGCCACAGAAAACAGACCTCCTGTTTTCTCTTTCCTCTCTCTCTCTCCCTCTCTTTCCTTTTCCCTTCAGCTTTCTTTTTCTTTTTCTTTTTTAAATTTTTTATCTTCTTCTCAGCTGTGGCCTGGTGCAATTGCCTGCCTGTGAAGTCTTGGTGGAACAGCAGGACATCTCTTCCTCCTTCCCCTCTGTCTGTCTCACACACTCTCCTCTGCTCTGCTCTGCTCTGCTGAGCGTGCACACATATTCTCTTAGCGCCCTCCAAAGGATGCTGAGGGCACAGCAAGCTCCCATTCCCGATGGCTCCGGGGATAATTGCACTGAAAGAGACTTGCAGGGAATTGTAATATCAGTGTTTGAAAAGCGTTTCTTGTCTAATATTGGATTGGGATTTGGTGCTCTAATGTGTGTAGCAGGAATTTTCATGCGCAAGGCCTTTGATGTGTGTCTTTTGTTTGTGTTTCAGTACATGACTGCTGCAGCTGCCGCGGCGCCTATGCAAGGGACCTACATTCCCCAGTACACTCCTGTGCCTCCAACAGCCGTCCCTGTCGAAGTAAGACCCACACACATGCACACGGTGCTTCCCAATAATCTAGAATCTGCTATTTACAGATATCTGTTAGTTATCTGTTTAAAAAGTCTGATATTAACCCTAAGGAGGACGTCATTACTGCTGACAGCTCACACACTTACACTCACAAGCACTCACTCCACCATTTCTAAATGCTGCTCACCACAACAGACCAGAGCAGTCATTGAATAGACAGATTACATTTGAAGCGTGCTGTAAATTGCTCTTATTCTCTCCAAACAAATAGCCTTGCACTACCAGCAAATAACAAGGATGAAAACTGCAAGCAAAGCTAAATGAGTCAGAAGTTTTATAGTATTTGCGAAAGACATTTGAAGTGCAGTGCAGACTTTGTCACTTCTTCGGCGGCTGTCTGAGCTCCTGGCAGGTTCGGGCAGCCTAGCCTGAGAAATGATGAACGTGGAAAGCAGGCAGGCAGGCAGGCAGGCAGGCAGGCAGGCAGGCCGGCCGGCCGGCGAGGAGAGCAGGCTGGCTGTCTGGTGGCTGACAGTGCGGTCGTATTCAGATGGACTATCAGTCGTGTATCAGATGACAGGAGCTGAAGTGAGACACAGTGCCGGCGGTGCTGTCTCCCCCCCCACCCCACCCCCCCCACCCCCACAGCCGGTTCGGGCTGGTAGGTAGCTGGAACACACACACATCCGTCAGCCATGGAGCTCTGGTTAGCCCACCAGCCACGGACAATGACAGTTTCCCCTGACAGACCCATTAGTCGTTCCTCCCCCCTCCTCAGAAAGTTGCAGTCTTCTTCATGAAGGAGTTGGACAGGGGAGAGAGATGTAGTTGTAGTGTAGCCCACGGCGTCTCTTACCTATTTCATCCTCACCGTCGTCCTCTCAATGCCAGCGTCAGCAGCAGGGCGTATATCACCGTATCAGCCAGTGTCTGGAGGGCTGATGTATGGACAAGGAGGAGTATCCTTGAGAGCTTGTTAAAGGTGATTGAGATGACTCAGTGATGGGGGCTATTGGTAATGCTCAACACATAAAAAGGCTAAGAGGCTGTTGTGATGAATTCAGTGCACACAGCCATCCTTTTCCAGTCTTTTCACCACAGACATAGAGGTAAAACTCCATGAGCATTATAGCACATTTTGTTCTTTCGTATCATATAGTAAATTTGATTACCATACATAAATCCCTATGCAATGTCAAACCACCAAACCGGTTTTTTCTCCGTTCGGTTTTGTTTCTACTTTAAAAATGTTGTTCCTAATATACATCTTATACGTTTCTGCTGCTTAATTATTAGATTAAAAACAAATATTCTTTATATTTTTTTTAGTGCAGAAATAAATTAAACTGTTTAAATTCAAGACTGTGGGGGGGGTGGTTGTAGTAGAGAAAACCTCAGGAAGAGCAACGGAGGACAGTTCCTTCTTCCAGGACGGATAGACACGCAGTGGTACAAATTTACAGTGTGTACAGAGTAGACAGAAGAAGACTTTTACTCTATACAGTCACATACTGTACTTTTCAGCAGGATGTTACAAGCACTGCAGGGAGATGCTTGTTAGAGTTCAGAGCTGACACATTTCCTCCCGTGTGTGTCCTCAGGGAGTGGTGACGGACGCCTCCCCCCAGACAGTGGCTCCCTCATCACAGGAGGTGGCTGGCCAGCAGCAACAGATCCAGGTGGACAGCGCTGCCGACCATGTTCCTGCTTACTCATACCAGTCCAAGTAAGCTGCTGTCAACCTGTTAGACATGCTATGCTATTTTCACACATTTAAAAAAAATAATAATAATTTAATTGGTAAGCAGTAGAGGTGGGCGTTCAGGGATTAAGTTATTTATGCCTTTAATATCTCTGGGTGTGTTATGTCACGCTTTCGTCAATGCTGTCATTTTTTCCTTAAGTAATGTTTCCATTGACGCAGTGAAGTATTTAATTTGCCAGATTAACCAAAAAGAGGATTTCCTGTCGTTCCATTCCAATTTTTTACATATCACAATATACACAATATGTTTTGTATTATATAAAATGACACTCACATTAGGTCGTTTTGTGGTAAACAAATAAAATCGTTTTCAAACAGGTTTTTCACTACAGACAAGCTTCCTGCCTGTGAATTATTGGTTGTAGTGAGGGGATATCATCATACAAAATAAAAAAAATTGCAAGGTACTTCTCTTTGACAAATGTTTTTTGTGAAGATTCACAGAACTTAATACCGATCTTAAAATGAAATAAAATAAGAGCACTAAGAAACGCAGTGCTGTTATAAAATGACTCGTATTAGTCCTGGCAGCTGTTGTCATTTCCTCGTCATTCTGGCAGCACTTTTTTTTTTGCTTCTCTGACCTGCTCAGAACTGTTTAACATGCTGCATTTTGCTTCAGTACTCGGACTGGGCTGTCAGCTGTCAGCTCTATTGCTCTTCTGTGTTTGTAATATTGTGCTTTGATTACAACTGCTCTCTCTCTCTCTCTCTCTCTCTCTCTCTCTCTCTCTGTTTTCTCCTCTTTCATCAGATAGCAACGGCCTGAGCGAATGTTCCTGTGACAGCGTTGCCTTGAGACAGAAGGTGGCTGCACTGTGAATGTGAGGAAAAGAGAATAGAAAGAGATTGCTTCCAGATTGCCCAGGCACCAAAAAAGAGACACTTTTTTCATTTCCTACCTGGCCTACGAGAAAAAAAAAAAAAAAAAGAAAAAGAAAAACGCAAGAAGGAGGAGGAAAAGAGTGCTGAGGAAGGGGATGGGAAAATTGCTGGGCACAGTGCAAAGAAGTGAAATTGTTTAGTCTGGGAACCTGCCTGAAGGGCTGGGCTGAAGCTTGAAAAGTTTCTCAAAGAAAATTCTCAACCAATTAAAAAAAAAAAGTAAAAAAAAATACATATACAAAAAAAAAAAAAATGCAAAAAAAAAAAAAAGGTTGAATGCGCAGGTAGGTGATGAAGTTTATTTTGTAATTAGAAAAGGGGAGTCAAGTTTGAGATACACACAGAGATTGTCTTCCTCAGATATTAAGCTACAATTTCTTTTCACTCTTTTTTATGTTCTAGTGTTAAATTTTAGTTTTCTAGATATATTCGAAAAAGTGTTTTTTCTTTCTTGAATCTTCATGGCCTTAATTTGAAGGGCGCCAGAAACTTTTTACAGAGTTAAACTCTGACGTCTGGTTAGGAAAAAAAAAAAAAAAAAAAGCAAACAGAGTCAGTCTCTTGGACCACTTGGAGGGTACAAGACACTGGATGAGTTGTTCTAAAGAGGAAAAAAGAATCTATCACATAAGCTGTACAGATTTAATAGAGAAGAGCTTTTTTTTCTTTTCTTCATTAGAAGAAAACTTTGATAATTATTATGTCAGAGGTAACTAAGTGTCAGAAGAAAACAAAATGTCTGTTGGGGAAAAAGACTCGGGGGGGAGATGAAGCTCTGAAGAGATTTTTCACAATGAGGAAAAAATGAAAACATAAGGAACATGCTGCATTGTGGATGCAGTCTGTTGCAAATGCTGAACTTGTTTTTATTATCATAATTATTATTTTACATGGCAAAGTTGCTGTCAATGACATTAGTGCTTTTTATCTGCCACATTTTACCTTTTTTATGAGCTTTAAGATGTTTTTAGCCCGCTTTGCTTGTCACACTGCAAAAAGACAAAAAAAGAAGAAAAAAAATTATAAAATGAAAAAAAAAAAAAAAAAAAAAAAACTACGGAAAAATTCTGGCAGTGAAATAAAAACAGTAGATTCAGTAGGAGCTTACGGTTTAAACCAATCAGTGCAAAAGCAATAGAAGAAATTGTTGACAATTTCTGTAGTCTTTCCTAGTTGTGGATCAAATGCAGCCCATGGATGGCCATTTTTATACCAAAGATGAAGAGACACTCTGAACCAGAGTTTTGTTTTTGTTTTTGTTTTGTTTTTTTTGTTTTTCCTTTTCATTTTTCAGTTTGATTTTGTTGTTGTTGATGTTGATGTTGTTGTTGATGTTAATGTTGATATTGTTGTTGTTGTTGTTGCTGTTGTCGTTGTTTTTTATTTGACCTTGATGGCCGGACCAGTCCTTACTATCCTTCTTTACACTTTCTTTTCATCGGGTTTAAGCTAATTTTCCACGGTTGTCCAAGCTGTCACCGATGCACACACACACACACACACACACATACACAGACAGACACACACATATACACACACACACTCTCTCACATACTGTATGTACACATACATGCACACACTTACAAACTCATACACACCCTTCAAACAGTATTTAAATGTGCAATGCAGCCGGTGGCAGCCCTACCAAAAGTCTTTTTTTCTTCTCCTCTTCTTCTCGTCTTTTCATTTCTTTATATGTCTCATCACTTTTACGATGCTTTCACACACCGTGGGTGCATTCCACTTCTCTCTCTTTCTCAGATCCTGCAGGGAAAACTTTAGGAAACAGATTCGGGGAATGTTGCTTGCTATGCTCCGTGGTCGTCGATGCATTGCTTCCAGCTTTGTCCTCTTAGTGATTTCTGTCCTCAGTCTCTTTATCTCTTTGATTCAGCCGTAACTAACTCAACCGTTTCTCAGTTCTCGTACTGAGCTTCAGAGTTGAACTGGGAATCTCCCTGCTGCTGTTTGACCCCATTTTAATCCCTGTCATGTCGACATCACCAAATCTAGGTCACGTTTTTGAGTATTTATCTGCTGAGATTACCAGATGAGTGGTGTTTAATGCATATTGTACATCAGATAAGGTGTAAATCATAAAACTGACTTTGAAATCTTTATCAACGATTGCATAAACTTTATGGAACAAATCTAATGTACATATGTGGCAGCCAAAGAATATGAAAACAACTGTTTTAGAAAGTAATGGTGGTTAAAGGAGTAGTTTGACATTTTGCAAAATAGAGTTATTCACTTTCCAAGAATTGGATGAGAAGATGGATATCACGCTCATGTCAGTATGAGCTGCTGGTTAACTTAGCTTAGCACAAAGACTGGAAACAAGGGGAAACAGCTAGCGTGGCTCTGTCCAAAGCTCACAAATATTCACCTTCCAGCACCTCTAAAGCTCAAGGATTAACACATTAAACCTGGTTTGTTTAAACCAAACAGAAAAGTGAAATAATGACACTATTTCATGGGGAGTAATGTTCTGGACTATTTCTTGGCTAGGTGCAGTGACTTAACTGTCGTCTTTGTCGTTAGACAACCAGCAGAGACTCCAGGAAGTTATTCTGAAGAAATGTCATACTATTCCTTTAAAACACTTTTGAACAGAGACACAATGACTCCACATCTGTAAAGCAGGAAACTTCGCTTTGAAAGATCCTGTTTGAATTGTAAGACTGCCATCACTGTGTGACACTAACAAGGCATGGAAGAAGTGTGTTTAAAGGCTACAGAGGGACTGTCTGTCTTAAACGTCCCCCTGATCGTTTGCCCAGCGCAAGCAGTGGAGGTCAGCACACCTGTGGGACCTAACTAGACTCGTCACCAGCCATAACAACATGTTGATGGCAGCTCCTTCCTCGACCCCACCGCTGAGTGTCAGTTACACCCCTGGTTGTCCCAATTTGTTGCACAAACAACCCCGACTCATCTTATCCGGTCTTTCCATCTCAGAGCTGCACGAGGTTTTCAATGACTTCATCTCTGAGGATTGTCCCTGAAGAAATTGCCTGTGGGACAGCAGCCATTTCTGCCCCCATTACAGCAGCCTGTGTGTGTCAGGAGCACTGTGTGTCTGCTCTGTTCACTCATGCCCGCCCGCTCTGCCCCAACAGTGGTGCTCCGGCACTAAAAAGACCCCGTTTTTTTTTCCCTGCTTCACTGGCACCATTAATGTGCCAAGGCCAAGCCAGGCTCCTTTGCTCTCATTTTCCCTCGCTGTCATTCTCTCCCTCTTCCCCCTCTCTCCTGCTCTCTCTCTCTCTCTCTCTCTCTCTCTCTCTCTCTCTCTGAGGTTTCTTCTCTTTATTGGATGGTGCAGAAGCAGAACCACAAACCAATTTCAGTCACTCTCGCAATGAGGCTTGACGGGCCCAATTTGTCTCCCTCCGGGGCAATAGGATCCACTCCAGTGTCCCTCAAAAGGCCCTTTTCTTCCAAACAGAGAAGGAGCTTTTTGTTTGGTGACAATTGCAATTGAGCTCTCGCAGTTCATGTGACTCATTCAAATCTAAGTCCAGCGCTGCATTTTGGGACGAGGTGGCGTGTTGTGCACATTACAGGCAAGCTATGTCATTCTGCGTGGCGATGTTTGTAACTAACAATCAAATTGTACATCGAGTGCCTTTTTAACAAAGCTTCCAAATGATTCCAAATTATCAATGTGATAGTTAAAAACAGCAAAGCACATGGGAGAGCGTGTTAAAGAAGGTGTGCTGAAGAAATGCTACACAATATCGAAGCTACTCTATGGTGCTAAAGAGGAAGCTGTCTCGGGCTTGTGCCTTCATTGTGTTCACTGATCTCTGTGACGAGCTGGCCACTGTTGATCATTTTGCCATGAACTCACTCTTTGCAGGCCACCTGTCCACTTGACGACACACAAAAAGAAACAGGAACACAGGTTCCTGTAGGGGACTATACTTTCAAAGCCATACATACATTTTCTTCTCCTCAGTAACACTGTAAATACCTGCTGTACATTCTTGTCTTCCATCCACCAACGGAGGTCAAAAGCCAAATGCGTCATTCAAACTGTCTCTCAGTGATCATTCAGCTATTTATTGTCCAATCAAATCAACACCTGCCCTTTTCCTTTCATCTGATCTGCCACTCAACATCTGCTTTCACTTGCCTCAAGGCCATGATTCGCTCTTATCTCCCGATGAATAAGTCTCTGCCACATTACAGTCTTTAAAGGCTAACGGCTGACAAATGTTGGGCTTTAGAGTTCCCTGGACGTGCCCACACTGCTCATCTGTTCGTCATTGTTGCATGAACTCACTGTGTCTGAACCATTTTTAAACGACAGAGCTGCTACACTATAACTTAACCAGTTTTAAGCTAGTATGTGTGTGTGTCTGCGTGCGTGTGTGAAGAGTTGTTCTACTCAACAGTTCAACTTTTAGTGAGGTTATGAATACAGCATAGCTACAACCGAGTTCTCTAGACTTTTACGGCTGCTGTTTTATAGAGTACTGAAGACATTTTTGAAGCTTAATAGGACTCATAATGCAGGAGTTGCACATCAGAGAGCAGATCGTCCTACAAATGGCCTGAGATTCAATAGTCATGGCATTAGGGGAAATAGGATTACAAATAGTCAAGAGATTATGGGAAGAAATGCACAACAAAGACTATCAGCTCTATTTTGCTAATGGAGATTTTAAGAAAGAAAAAGATGTTAAGGCAAGTGTTTGCTTTTGGTGCACGGTACTAATATTTCACAGAGATTGGACAGATTACCCGACTGAACAAATAGAAATGGCTTTTTCTTAATAGCACAATGGCATAATGTACCTTTTCAGAATACCAATACCTTCGTGGAAGTGTACAGAAGGCATGCCTGCAATTTTAAGGAGGCTGTAGCAGAAACGCTCTGCTCCCAGTCAGCCCATGTGTCAGCACAAACCAGAAGCCAGCTATGCCAAGAGAGAAAGTGTGTGTGTGTGTGTGCGTGCGTGCGTGCGTGTTTGCATGCGTGTGTGAGAGAGTGAGAGAGAGAGAGAAAGAAAGAAAGAGAGAGGGGGGATCATTAGCTCATGTTGCCAGGCAGAAGTGGTCGTAGCCTGGAGTTTCTCCGTCTTCGTGCAGCAGTATGTCCCCGCTACTGAATCCCAGGAGGTGACCAGCTTGACCCCTCACTAATTAGCAACACATACTCTTCCTGTCTTGCACCACCATACCCAGACAGTCTTTCTCTTCTTTATCTAGACAGTCACTCTTCATTTTCCACCTCTTCCATGCCTACGTTTTATATTTAGCATACCGTAGCATGTCCACTCAAAGTCCACATCAGCATCTTTTCCACCTTTGGGAAAAACATCAAAGTGAAAGATTCTCTCATCGTCTTTAGAGAAGATTGGCCAGAGATTGGGGGGGGGGGGACTCCACCTCATTCGCATCACGCAACCTACGATTTGCAACATGAGATCAAGTCGTCATGCTAATTTTGACGTGTCACGAATCAAAACAAAAGCCAGATTGCACCCCAGGCCTGAGCATGCAAGAGGACTTTCATTTATCTGCAATTTGCA